AGACGTACATTTGCTCTGTATTTATTAACTGGTAGGAAGTTTGTATTGTTTGAGTGATTTGGCTTTTCAAAGCTTGTATGCATGCTTTTCCGTTCACATTTTTCTTAAGTGATAATACCATTACCAAGAGATAGATAAGAAGAAAGGAGATAGGAGAAAATCGAACAATGCCATCTTGCTGCTGGTTATTGTTCCAGATGAAAGATAATGGGAACACAGCAGGCAGGCTTTTTTTTTTTTTTTAGAGAAATTAACTGAAATATATCTCTGTCTCCTAGTACTCGTCAGGAGCCTGGCCTAGTGAGCACAGAGAAGGAGCTACAGATGCACGATGGGTGGCAGTGGTGTGAGCGAGGGTTAAGGCTGTGTTTTCTTTATGGGAGGAAGTTTGATGTGTACCAAGTTAGGTTTTTCACAAAGCGACATTAGCACTTTTTGTTGAACTATAGAAAGAAAGGCTAGATGATTGTGCGTTGGCTATTCAGGAACTAAAAGCGCAGGATCATGTCAGAGAGCTGTAAATCGAAGTAGACTTGTGTTTCACACATTCAGACTCAGAAATCCTGCTTTTGAACTGTTAAAGCTCAGTGCGTGTCAGAAGACTTGAATGATACAACATCTTTGTAAGCACCACGTTTAAATAAAATTCACCCTCTTATGTGCAAAAATGTAACATCTGTTTGTTTTTATTTGCCAGGGATCAGTACCTGTTTAAAAACAGACCCACAGATGGCCCTCCCAATTCATTTTATAGGTCATTATACCCAAAGATTATCCAGGATATAGAGGTAACTTTATGATTTATCTTTTTTTTATGGGCTCTCTGTGTCTTGTTCTCAACTTTTTATGTTGTCTTAGTGTTCTGTTGATCTAAAATCATGGGACAAATAATTTTTTTTAAAGTTGAACTCTTAGAACAAATGTGTCACACTCAATGTAGAATCTGTAGCTTTCTTCAGAACATGTCACGTCTTCTTGTAAAAAAGATCTGACTTTTCTCAGCCTTGAAACGCTTCTGCAGGGCTGCCACCATTAAAACCATAATCCAGAGTCAGTTTTTCATTCTAATTTGATAAAATTTCCAAAACCCAAGGCCCAGGTTTTTAGGCAAGCAGTTTTATATTTTTGAGCCACATCTCGAGAACTCGAGAGGGCACAGTTTCCTCTGTAAATTTCCCATATTTTTTCATAAAAAGGATTCAGAGATGATTGTGAGCAACAATTAAGTGAGTTTTATGGAGCAAATTATGCTGCCGGACCATTTGGATGTGAGTGGGACTTCACCAGCCCAGTAAAACTCTGTAAACTTGACGAGCACCACTGGAGGCGTTTGATATTGGTCATGTGTTCTAATTGGTTCAGTTTTATTATTTAGCCCTTTTCCTTGAACCAGGAAAGACACGCACAGGCATTTCTCATTAACTCTTTCACATGTGTTCTTGGCAGGTCCTGGTTACTTCACTGTTTCCTCCTTGGCAGAAACCTTAGCCTTCTCCGGGCAGTGCTGTATCACCCATAAAGTTATACTCTGTTTCCCAAACGTGAAGTAATCCTCTCCCCCAGGTGATAGACATAAAAGTTATTGTGCCAAAATTCATTAATGGAGAAACATGTGCTTTTTTGGAGGTTCCCCCCCCACCCCCCTTTTTGAGGCAGATGTGAACTAATGGAATCATTCAGTTAATGGTAAATCTGAATGTGACTGGAATGTCATTATTTAAAGCACAAACCCTTGAGCAAGACAAACCCTTGTCTTGCTCCCTAAAATGAGCTATAAAGTAACCTTTTAGGGAGGCTTAAATAATTTCAAACTGCTCCTGGACAGTCAAAGTGTTTAGGAATTAATTGATCCATTGGCAGAACTTAAAATAAATTGCCCCTACAGTGTTAGGAGCTAAGACGGTGTTAACTTGAATCTTAGGTTGGTGTGTGTTCAAGGGAGAGGGGCTGTCTCTTACCCTTAGATAGTTATGCTAAGACAATGCTTTTTCAAACATCTTAGGAACTATATTACTTTTTGTCCCTTCCCAATTATTATTTCTTTCTTTCTTTTTTAAATATATTTTTATTGATTTCAGAGAGAAAGGGAGTGGGAGAGATAGAAACATCAATGATGAGAGAGAATTGTTGATCAGCTGCCTCCTGCATGCTCCCTACAAGGGATTGAACCTGTAACCCAGGCATGGGCCCCTGACTGGAATCAAACCTGTAACTCTTCAGTCTGCAGGCCAATGCTCTATTCACTGAGCCAAACCAGTTAGGGCCCAAATATTCTTTACAAAGTAGCTCTAAATTTCCTTGAATAATTTAGTAAATCCTTTATTATGAGAAGCATGACGTTTAAGGTCAGTCATTGATCAGTAGGGATTTTGGAAGAGCTATGATCAGGTTGAAGATTTGGTGACACGGGTTATTTTATTTACCCTCCATGAGTACTATTGTAATTGACAGTATGAACTTGACATTCTGTGGTGTGACAGTATGTGACACCACCTAGCATATCCATTTCCTCGGGCTGAAATAATATTTTTTTATATTATTTAGTAGAGGAGGCAGATGTGAGGGAAAACAGAGCTATGGGGGAAACCCTATTTGACACAAAACCTCTACATCATGGTGGTCTGCCCAGTGGTTCTTAAAGTGTGGTTTGGAAAAATCCACTGGTTGGCCACAAGGGTCTCCTCCAGATTTTTGTGGGCTAGATCTCTTAGTGTAAGGGACAGTGTTTTATATGGTATATCACTAATAGTAATAATAATAAACATAATACTTGTGCTAGATCCTTTGTTAAGCATTTAACACTGCACAATACCTGAAAGCAGTGAGTAGCTGTGACCAACCACATAGTCCGCATTTCATCCAGCTTTCTGTACTGACCCATCACAATAGAGTTTTTTACCTCTCTTTGGGGAGTGTATTTAATTCTGTTGTGGGTGGACACACAGGCTGAGAATTTTGTCCGTGACCCATGGACCAAACAAATGAGAGACTCACACACAGGCTTGCTCCTGCCCATATGGTTAATGTGAAACCTCCATAAGCGGAATATAATAGTCACACGTTCCTTCTTGATTGAGCCCTTGCCGTGTCCTGTGAACTATGTTGTGTGACTTACGTAGGTTATTGCATTTAATTTCTACAAGGTACACATCCCCATTCTGTAATAAGGGGAAAATTGAGACTAAGAAATTTTAGACTTGCTACCTAGTTATGTAGGAGAAGTGGGCTTAGTGTTGTCATTTCAAACTGGAAAAGAGAAGTGAAGGAGAAAGATGTATGTTGTTAGATACCTACAGACTTGAGGGTGAAGTCGTCTTCCTCCAGTTGTGTGAGTGCTCCGTGTCCTTGAGTGTCTTTTGAAAGGGGCACGAGTGGATGGGTCAGCTGGCCTGGTTTTAGTCGTCACATTTTGGTGTCTTGAACTGGGATGTGTCTCCTGCATCTCCGAGTAGAGGCAGCCCTTTCATGTACATGCCTTTCCCTCTTTCCTCGCTGGGTGAGGCCTTTGCAGCGCTCTCCTTGGAACAGCCCACGGGTGAAATGATGGTGTGTCGTGTCGCACCTTTTAATAAACCGCATTTTATTCAGGGAAAGTGGGGAGCTTTTTTGTGGTTTGCAAACTTGATATTAACATTGTCCTGACCAGAGAATGCTGAAACTTGCCCACCCACCCAGTTGTGTTTAGGCTTCTAAAAATAATGTTATCCCTCCATACTCAGACATCTGTTTTCACTCTATTGCCAATTTAAATGCCGCTGTATACTCTGTGTATCATGGCTACTTTCCCAGTATTTTGAAAATTTGCACAGGGTAAGGGGATTTTACAAGTTCTCAGAAATACGAAATATTCCTCTACAGTAGCCACACCACATGATGTCCAAGCGACATGGCAGGTATCTGCGTAATGAAGAGGTGCACCTGTGTGTGTCCTGTACGCCTGCTACTGAGATGGAGAGGAGTTGAACGGCATTAGAAGGCCGAGCCCCCTTCCTGGGTGCGGTGGCGGGGAGGGGGGCTCAGGGTTATCAGGAGTAGCTAGCAGCCTAGACTGAGACCGCCAATCCTGGCAATTGGGTGGGGAGATTTTTTGGGGTCAGAGCCTACTCCCCTTGGTCCGTGTTCTGCGCAGACGAGGAAGAGGGTCACTGTGACGAGCCCCGACCCGTGTCATCTCAGCTGATCCTCTCAGCAGTTTGGAGGAAGTAGATACTATTTTCCCCTTTTTTACAGAGGAGCAGACTGCAGCTCAGACGGCCCAAGTCATTTGCCTAAGCTGCTAATTGACCTAGGTATTTTCTACCGCATTGGCTGCCTTCTGTTTCTAAGGGTCTAGTTTTTCTAGAAAGACCTGGCTTACAAGCATTCTAGTAAGAGTTGAGGTCGTCAAATAAGTGGCAGGCACAGTCAGCAGGATGTCTGCCTGCTTCTGTGGGTGGCCTCGGGCCTGGGAAGCGGGATTAGAACCAGGGCGGCATGCAGCAGGCAGTCCACTCCCTGGCTGCTTTCGTGTCGCTCTCCTGGCATTTTGAAACAAACACTTGTTTGGGGATTAAGAAACCTAATAATTTTGGAAACAGCTCGAAGTGGAGCTTCCTAAAATGACCCACCAAGAATATTTGGCAGACTTTTTCTCTTAAAATTCAGATGTGTGGGTTAGAAAATGAGGCTCTTCCCAAGCATTGAGCAGCAGAGCCGTTTTCTGACTTCCTTTCGGCTTAGAACGTGAGCTTCCGAGAGGCCTGGCGCCTGCCTCTCGTCTGAGGCTCGGAGATAGAGAGCGCGGCTCAGCCTTTGCTGTCGGTGTGCCCTGGCCAGGCGGAGGCCGACCGTAGCCTCACCCCAGCTCCTCTCTGTGTGGCTTTAGGTGCAAAGGTTATAACCCAGTTGTCAGTCTTAGGAAGCGTTATAGAGCAAAGGGAGAACGTGACATGCAGGGGATTCTTTCTGGTTGAGGAGCCCCCCACTCCCTTTTTTAAAAAACTCTTTTCCAAATTCCCACGTGATGGTAAATGTGCTTTTTCATTCATTGAAATATAGAGCAACAAAGCTACGTATTGATTCAATAATATTTTAAAAATTGTGTATATTTTGAACTAAGAACAGCTATATGAATTTTTAAAATAACACCCTCGGGGAGAGAGAGAGAGAGAGAGATAGAGGGAGGTTACATAGTCATCTCTGGAATACTTGGGTTCATATGGAGTAATGCATTCTGCCACAGCTCTGAGCCCATGGGGTGTAGCCTGAGCACGGTAACCACGGCTGGGAGTCACTGGCCATGAATAAGGCTTGTTGCCAGTACACCTGCCTCCTAGTCAGCATTTTCCTGGTCTGCTTTTCCTGAGCACGCCGAGGTGGCTCAGTCACATCTGAAAAGACACGATTTCTCTAAATGATTCCAAGCACTGAGTTCAGGGTAAGAAATTCTTTATATTCTGGGCCCCTTTTTTAAAAGGTTGCTTACACAGACAGAACTGTTGTCTACCTTGATAGCAGTGGCAGAAGTTTGGTTCGGGCATGTGCTCTTATGCCTGACACTTTACAAACTCACTAGAGGTGATGCTGCCGGCTCAGGATTGGTTGCCTCCCGCATGCACTCCTACTGGGGCTGGGGAACCTGCAACTGAGGTATGTGCCCTTGACCAGGAATCGAACCCACGATCCTTTGGTCTGCAGGCTGACGCTATAACCACTGAACTACGCCGGCCAGGGCTGCATATCTTAGCGGGAAAAGCGTGGACTTAGAGTCAGGAAGAATGGGTGTGATTTCCAGCTCATCCCATTACTAGTTTTATGGGCTCAAGCAAATTAAACTCCTTCCTTGTTTAAAAAAGGGAAATAATAAGAATTTCCTTCCAAGGCCAATGCGTGGATCATTTAACCAAATAAACATGTTTGGAGTATACCCAGTTCCAGATCCTGTGCCCAGGTCCTGGCGCGGCGCCGCTCTTGAAAGCAGAGTGCTTCCTGTTGATCATTTAGCGCCTAGGGCCTAGCACAGCTAGTACCTGGAATACACGGGCCTGTTGGTAAGTGCGGCGTGAATGATGAAAGATGAGAGCTCGGGCTGCAATGTGCCGCTCTTGTTTGAAGGAGCTCAGTCTGGTGGAAGATTAAAAATGGAAAACATACGTTTTCTCATAATAGTTGGCCTGTAGTAGCTTTCAGTATCTTTTCTCAATGATCAAGATGATGCTTTGGATGGATGCACAGATTTCTCAGTATCAGCTTCATATTGTTGGGGTCTTCCGCCAAATATTTTAACTGGTATTAGAGAGGGACCCAATGGGTTACTATTTATTTGTATGTTTTGGATGCAAGTGGCATTCTTGAAACATTCCGAGTTCTGTCTAGGCCTTTTACTTTTTTTTAAAATCCAACCCAAACTCATTGGAAATCCTGTGATAGTTGCCAGAAGGGCAGGGAACATTTGAGAAAAAACATTGTTGGGCTCATGTCTTACTTGGAAAAGAACATGATTCCTATCCACAGACAGTTACGCAAACCAAGATGGGTAGCGGTGGTATGCCGTTTCTGGAAGCAGTGCCAGAGCCTGAAGCGTAATAGAATAGTTGATTCACAAAAACTCGTTTGTTGCCTCCTTTCTCCCCTAGACTATAGAATCTAACTGGCGGTGTGGACGACACAACTTGCAGAGGATTCAGTGCCGCTCTGAAAATAGTAAAGGTGTCTACTGTTTACAGTACGATGATGAGAAGATTATCAGTGGGCTACGAGACAATTCTATTAAGGTGAATAACTACTTTGTATGCATTATCTTTAGAATTGTGATTACACGTTAGACACTAGAAGTGACAATCTCTTCCTTTATTCCAGACTATGGTTCTAGAGAACTAGAAACAGAGCATTTTCCTGCACTCATACTAGACCCCTGGGTTCTCTCACTTCCTACCCTTCTCTACGCACATATATGTTCTGTATTCTGTATTAGGGCACTTGGGAAAAATACCTCAGTAGTACAGGGCTCTTGATGACTGTGTGCTAGCGAAATGTTGCTAATTTGCCTGGAAATCAGTCATTACCTTTTATGACTTCTGAGAAAGGCTCAGATGATAACACAGAAGAATGATAGAGCAATTTAGATTGCCTTTCAATAGATAAGCTGGATTATAGCTGTGTTTAATGTTGGGCCGCTGATCTGACAGCTTTTGTTCTACATTGTTTATAGCTTATTTTCTCATTTAAGGAAACACTGCAGTGTTGTTGGGTGTTGTTTTAGTTCTGATTTATCTACAGGAAAATGCACTTGTTTTGGTGTGAAGCTGTTTGACAGCAGAAGTAATTGTGTAACCACAACAATATGCAAGATCCAGAACAGTTTCACCCTCCCCAGACGTTCCCTTGTCCTGCCCCTTCGTGTCCGACTCTTCCCATTCTTCCCCTAGGCCCGTGGTCGGCAAACTGCGGCTCGCAAGCCACATGCGGCTCTTTAGCCCCTTGAGTCTGGCTCTTCCTAAGCCTCGGAGTACCCTAATTAAGTGAATAACAATGTACCTACCTATCTAGTTTAAGTTTAAAAAATTTAGCTCTCAAAAGAAGTTCCAATCGTTGTACTGTTGATATTTGGCTCTGTTGACTAATGAGTTTGCCGACCACTGCCCTAGGCATTGGCCACCGTTGGTGTTTCCGTCCCTGTAATTTTGCCTTTTCAGGAATATCCTCTAAGTGGACTACAGAGTGTATAACCTTTTGAGTGTGGCTTCTTACACTTGGCATAGTACACTGGAGTTCCATCTGGTTGATTGCTTGTCCTTGCGGGGGTGGGGGGGGGCGCTCCATGTTGTGGGTGTATCGCAGTGAGCTTATCCATGTACCTGGTGAAGGGCATTTGTGTGTCTCGTTTCTCACAGTGATGAGTAAAGTCACCGTAAACATGCAGGCAAGTTTTTGAGAGCGTAAGTTTTCACTTCGTTTGAGGAAAATCCTAGGAGTGAGATTGCCGACTCGGATGCTGAGTGTGATGTTTTACTCGCTAAGGACCTGCTAAGCGGTTTTCCGAAGCAGCAGCGCCGTCGCACGTTCCGCAGCGCTGGGGGAGATCCTTTGCTCTGCTCCTGTCAGCTTGGTAGCCGCACTTTCTGACACTCGCCCTTCTCAGGTGTGTGTCGGCCTCATTCTACTCGCCCAGTGGCTGATGAGAAAGGGCCTCTTCTCGCTTATTGGTGCTTGTCTGCCATCCATCTATTCATTGGTAAAGTTTCTGTTCAGATCTTTTCTCTCTCTTTTAAATGGGTTTTTTGATTTCATATTGAGTTTTGAGAGTTCTTTACATATTCTGCATGCAAGTCCTTGTCAGATATATTTTGCAAATATTTTCTTACAATCAGGGACTTATCTTTTCATTTTCTTAATGATAGATTTTAATTTTGATGAAATCCAGTTTTATCAACTTTTTTCTCTTATGAATTGTGCTAAGAAGTCTTCCACTAAGCTTTTTGAATCTGTAAGTTTATATTTCAGTCACCAAATTCCAGAAGTTTTTGGCTCTTACCTTTTCAAATATCTTTTCTTCACCAGTAGTTTGTTTCTTTGCTGAGAGCGTCTCTCTTGTCATTCACATCGAACATGTTACTGTGCCTCAGGACAAGAGTTCCAGTAGCTGCTTGGAAGTCTTGGCTATGACATCTGGGTGATCTCCAGCCTGTTGTTTGTGGTTGATTGTCTCTTCCCCTGAGAATCGATCACTTTGCTTGGTGTTTGTAAGACACTAATTTTGGATTGTAGCTTGGACAGTATGGGTGTTACATTGTGCAGACTTTGCAGCCTGTTACAAGCCCCTGGAGAAAATGTCTGCGTGTGTTTGAAGCAGGTGGTTAACCTAGTCAGCCTCAGAACACGAACTGAATTTCGTTGTGACTTCAGCAGAGAGGGGGTTAGAAGGTTGGGAAGGATTCAGAGATCTTCTCTGCTTCTCAAAGCCTTTATCACTCACCACTGGGGTCTGTCTTCGGCTTGCACTACCCAGAGCTTGGTCTGAGGCTTCAGCAGCAGCTTACTGTCAGTTCACTTCTCGCAGCCTTGCTGCGCTGTGCAGTCTGTCCTGTGTATGCACAGCTCCATCATGTGTGGTGGGTTCAAGGGCCCTTTCTTTCCAGATCTTTTCTCTTTTGGATTTCCCTATCTCTTCTGCCCACAGGGATCCTTTTTCCCTGGCTAGAAAATGGGGTTTCCTCTTGGAATTTCAGTTACCTGTGCCACTGCTCTGTGGTGCGTCTTCATGACGGGGGCCTGTTCTTGAAGCAAAGCCACGTGCGAAGAGGGGAAATGGGGCCTCCACACATGCTTTGGCCCCAGGGATCCCTTTCCCCACTCCTCTGTCTAGAAAGAAGGGTTTCGCTCAAATTTTAACGGCCTCTGCTGCTAGTTCACGTGCAGCCCCCG